GCCGTCAGCCTAGCTCACACAACCTCCAACTCCTGGGCTCAAGCGATCCTCCTGCCTCAGCCTCCCAGAGTGCTAGGATTACAGGCGTGAGCCACCGGGCCCGGCTGCATATTTGTTTTACAATAAAAAATTACAATTGGAAAAAAAAGTCATCTAAATTTGATGCATTCTGGGACGATAGAAAGGAATCTGAGCTGGCAATTTGATTTTTGGTTTCTCCACATCTCAGACTCATGAGTTTGGCAAGTGACTCAATCTCAGTTGCCTCATCTATGGAATGAGGCAAACTAGACGAGAATTGCTGCAAATCTTCAAAAAGATAACCTTTGTAGCAATAAACATAAACAAAAGAGAAAACAACAAGTACAAGACTTAATCAAAGTGATAGTTGGCAGGGTCAGCCCTTGAGGGAAGAGGCCGCTGTCCCAGTTCTCTACAGCCACCTCGGCGCCTCACACGCGGGTCGGGATGCGCTCAATTTGCCTGCCTAGATGGATCAAGTTCCGCTTCCGCAGGCGGATTTTCGCTGTGGGCGTGTGCACCGTGCGTCGGACGCAAGCTGCGGTCCGTCCTCCCTGGCGCGCATGCTCCTGCGGGGAGGTGGAGACCGGAAGGGAGGGGGCGTGGTGAGGCGCCGCAGACCGCCGGCTCGCTCAGCAGCCGTGCTCGGGAGGCGGGGGCGCGCGCGCTCGTTCGCGCGGCCGGCTGCGTACAGTAGTGACGGCCGCGCGGGAGCGGTCACATGACCGTAGCGGCTGCCTGTACAGTAAGAACCCAATATGGCAGCGGCGGTAGCAGTGGCAACGGCAGCAGGAGGACCGGCCGCCCCATAGACCCCCCCGCTCACCACCCCCGCCGCTTCCTCTGCTTGGGTGCTCCTCCGGCCTGACTTCCCCTTTCTCCCACCTTTCCCAGCACCGCGGGAAAAGCAGCGCAGGGCAGAGCAGGCAGGGAGGGCGGCCGGAGCCCGGACACGGGAGCCTCCCAGTCAGTTCAAGACCCGACATGAGGGAAAAGGGACGTAGGAAGAAGGGCAGGACCTGGGCGGAGGCCGCCAAGACGGTAAGGGGGAGGGAGCGAAGGGGAAAGCTGGGAGGATTGCGTTTTCTTGCCGCCTGCCAGTCGCACGGTGAAGGGAGGTGACTGGCCCAGCGACCCGGCTTAGGGGGCACAAAACCGCGCGGAGAGGGCGGCGGTTAGTGTCGGGGTCGAGATCCCTGTGGGAATGGAGGCGCCCGGCGGAAGGTGATCGCCGCCGGGCTGTGGCTTCTCCCAGCGTCTGCGACGAGTCCTCTTGGTGTTTTGAGGCTGTCTTTCGGGGTCACGTCGCTCTCACTCCCACTCTGAGGTAGCCCCCTCCCCGGCACCGTGTCTGTTATGCTTGCACTGTAATCGGTTCTCTTCCCCGTGGGGCTGGAGAGCCCCCATTGGATGCAGATAGGAGAAGGCTTGTGCATGCATCCAGCCCCGGAAAGAAGAGGGGAGCGCTGGAGCTTGATAGAATTTACCCGCTACAGCAGACATGCCTCCTGACCCTGGGCCCCCTGCTTATCTGGCTCCCGGTGCCGACGTGAGATCACGAGGCTTTTGTTTTTGTTTGCTGTTGGAGCTGAAAGTGCAGGAGGTGTTTAGAAACGAAGTAACAGGTGGGACTTGTAGAATTTTTTTTTCTGTTTCCGTAGAGACCTACTCTGAACAAGGCAGCAATGCATGGTGGGACGTGTAGTTTACTTGGCCTTCACTTTTCTCTAGCTAAAGTCATGATGGCCTAACAAACTTGTAATTAGTGGGTAAATCTATTTTTTCCTCCTGATTTTGTTATAACGAAATTTAGTGGTAGGTTTAAAAAAAATAGAATATTGAGGATTAGTGAGAACTTTCACTATGTTTTAAGAAAAAAAAATTAAAAGCGGTTTTGTGTGTAGAGATGAAACGTTAGGAGAAAGTGAAGTTCATTCCATCGTTGAGGGTGCAGCAGAAAAGTAATAGGGCATTAAACAGCAGCATTTCAGTGGTGGGAAGTGAGAGGTGTTCACCTCTTAAATGTTGAATTATGTCAGTAATACTTGGACAACATGGAGAACCCTTCTACGTAAAACCTTACTATATGTCATATGACTTATTTTTTAAATGAGATTTTTCTGAATACAAAAGTAATAATCCCTCGGGGGAAATTTGGAACGTTATAGAAAAGTATAAAGAAGAAAATTAAAAATCGTATATTTCACCCCTCATCTGTCACATATTAACTAGCGTTTGGGTATGTTACCATCTAGTCTTTTTTATTTCCTCAAAATCTGAGTCATAGTGTTTATTCAGTCTTGTGCATTTGTTTTGTAAACTTTGTGCATTTATTTTGTAAACTTTATGCATTAGGGGGTTTATGAATCTTCAACTTGTATTTTCTGTTTCAGTTGGAAATGTGAAAAAGTTATGGTAGTTTTTATTTATTTATTGAAAATACACTTACAGTATATTTGCATGATTGTGACTCTGCTGGTAGTTTCCCTCTAAAAAATTAAAAACTAGAAATAATAATTTTTTTGGTGGTGAAGAGGTTGCTTCTCTACAGAAGGCTATTTTAGTTTCTACTTGGTAGATACCTCAAGACCTCTTTCTGTTAATAAAAGAAACATGGTAAATTTTAATTATAGGTAAACAGACTGCAACTCTAATTATGTTAATTAATTTTAAGTCTCAACAATCTTAAGAGTGCTTTTTGAATTATGATCTCTTTGGATAAAATAGTCCAATCATTGGGAGGTTATGACAAATAAGAAAATTAATCTGCATCTACTGCTTAGCTGTTACTGTACTAAATTAGTATATTTGTTCATTTCATGCTCTAGCTACCTATGTGTAAAATAGTATGTATTTTCTCCTTTTTTTTTTAAGCCAGTGAAATTTATCTAAGTTTTATACCAACTTTAGTGACACTAATATTAAATGTGTGAAATAGTATTTAAAAGATGGAAAGGCTAGTTTGAGTAGTAAGAGTTCTGAGTGAGTTCCTGAGGGAACTACTGTATTAGTAGCTTTAGTAGCTTGGTATTTTTATTTGATGCTGGCAAATATGTAAAGCCCCAGTCTAGGTGAAAATGAAATTTTTTTATTTTTTTCAGAGACAGTCTCCTTCTGTTGCCCAGGCTAGAGTGCAGTGGCATCATCATAGCCAGTTTTACATGTTTTAAATTTTAAGGGCAGTAGTGATGGTGGTAATGAAATGATTTGGATGAGAGATACATAGTGTAGTGTTTAGTGAAATTGATTGATTGAGACAAGGTCTCCCTCTGTCACCCAGGCTGGATTGTAGTGGTGTGATCATACCTTACTGCAGCCTCAAACTCCTGGGCTCAAGCAATCCTCCTGCCTTTGCCTCTGGAGTAGCTGGGACTACAGACACGCACCACTACCTTTGGCTATTTATTTATTTATTTATTTATTTTTGTAGAGACTGGGTCTTGCCATATTGTCCATGCTGGTCTTGGATTCCTAGCTCAAATGAGCCTCCCGCCTTGGCCTCCCAAAGTGCTGGGTTTACAGGTGTGAGCCACTGTACCTGGCCAATGAAATTTAAATTGAAAAACTTGTAATAATAAGTCAGAGATACTGAGAACCATTACATTGATTTTAGAACTGTGTTTAAAGTTAGGCTCACTAAACAAAAAATATTTGATGACACCCTGAGGACTTTAGCAGTTTTTGCAAAGCAGAACTTCAAAATAGCATAATCTTTTTTTTGTTTGTTTTCTTTTTGACTTTTCCCTCCTTGCCATAACTAGGAAAGCATTAAAAGACAAAATGTCCTAAAAATGTAAGAGTGTGCATGTGTTGATTGTAGGTGGAAGGAACAGAGGGGCAAACCTTAGAGATTGTATAGTAGTGGGACCTATGGGTAATTTTGGGAGTGAAATGGTTAAAATATGAGAAAGGAAGTATGGGTGTTAGAGGTGAGAAGTGCAGTCTGTAGTGTAGATCTTTGGGATATGATTTGTAGATTGAAGGAAAAGTTTTTGTTTTAATTGTAGATAGACTTCATTGATTAGTATTATTTTGAATGTACATAAGATTTTAATTTTTGTCATTTACCTTAAGTTACTTAACTTCAGGGAATAAGGTGAACGATGGAAAATTTCTATTAAGGGTATAACACTGGTTGATTACTTTGATATAGGAAGGATAGAAAATGGAAAATTA